CAAGTGTGGCTTTGCCATTTTACCTTCTGGAGAAGGACTCTGGCACCTCACTTCCACGTCCTGCATCGATGGCCACCAGTACCAGGGAATCCACCCTTGCAGCTTATGGTAACAGCAAATACTTCCACAGCCACATTACAGCTATGTAGATGAGATCGAAGCAAATAAGGTGCCTAATTAACAACATACACAGAGAGAGAGGCGTGCAGGGGAGGCTGGCTGGCCTTGCTGGTGGCAGGAAGCCTTGGCCCATCTCGTGGGTGCAGCTGGGAGCTCTGGGCCCCGTGCAGCTGCCTGGAAGTTGTGGGCAGGCAGGGGGGGAGCCGCTGACGCGAGTGCAGGCTGGAAAACCACATAGGGACCTCGGTCCTGCTCTGTGCAGGGAGAGCCATTGAGCTCCGCAGGCAGATTTGCTTCCCTCAAGCTCTGGGGATGACTGGGAACACGCATAGCCCTTAGCTAACCGTAACAGCGTCTCTTCGTGGTTTCACCTGCAGGCTTTTACAAATGAATAAATGAAACGCACGAGTGAAGCACCCAAGCTCTTGGTGCCTTGCTGCAGCACAGCTTGCTTAAACGCCTTGGGAGCTGATGCCGTGAAAAGCCAGAATTCTCAATAGTCAGAGGGCTATTAAGCAGGGATTCTTTATTGTGGTGCCGGGCACACGGGGGATCTCTCCTCCAAACCTGCACGCCAAGCACCCTGTCATTTCAGGTTAAATACAATCACAGTATACATATGCATTATATTTCCAAGAAATGCTTAGCATATTAATGACTTTTTTCCAAGAACTAATTAGCATATGTTAATGTCTTTCACGTATGTCTGTTAGTGTCCTCAGGTGGTCTTTGGGGGTCTTACGATGAAGGCTTATACTCCTCATCACAGTGTCCGCTGGCTGACCTTTGTTTCTGCCCAAACTCAGTTCTAAGATCAGTACATGGTGTCCTTCCAGGTTGTTTTGCTCTGGTCTTGTTGCCCTCTTGGTGCCTCTTTATCTCTGTGGCTTGGTGCATCTCCCCTCCCAAGGCCGAGCTGTCTGGAGTAGAATTATTGAGCAGCCTCTCTATCTTATAGCTTTCCTGTCTTCTCAAAACAGCAAGGATCTCCTTTAGTTTAATTACAATCCCTCTGGTAAGTGGAAATTTTATATTTAGGGGTTATCAGAGCGCTGTCAGAGAAAGGAGTCTGTACAAACCAGGCCTGGAGGGGAAAACGGTTGGGTTTGGTGGTCTTACAGGTCTTTTCCAACCTTAACACTTCTACGATCACCAGCACCTGGACCCATCGCTGCCCTCTGAGCCCCCCTGCCTGGTTTATCTCCCAAAAGAAGGGCGCAACTGCCAAACCGCGCTGCTTTGCAACCAGACACAGCCTTTGCTGTACTTCAGTGCGGAGGTGAGGGGTCTGAGGGAGGGACGCCGCCCCGCTGCTCTCATATATGGCACACGCAAAGGCAAGAAGACTAATGGATTCAGCAGCCAGCCAG